AAGCTAAAATTTGTCGATAACACTCTCTCTGAACCATCATCTTGGATCCAACGATTGATGCATGAAACCATTTTTAAATCCATTCTTTAGATCGAACATGCTTCCGACGTTTAGCAATACAAAGATATGTTTTTTATATTACAGATTTACATGAAGATTTATACAAATTACACCAAGGAGGATAAGGTATAGGTCATTCCTTTTCAAGAGGTCGTGACAGAAATAATGGAGGGAGAAGTTCCCATGGATATCAAAACAAGTTTACTCGCATGACCAATAATGTCGCTTCTGGTGTTTTTTGATCTACCGTATTACTATCAACGTCTCCAACCTCCAACCTTCACAAGATCTCACAGCCAATGTCTAAATTTACTAGAAAGCAGTATTATGATATTCTAACTCTATTGTAACAATCTAAATCTTTTGCACATACAACAAATTTGGTTTTCACTCTTCCTAAAACTCCTTATGTTCTTCTCAATGGCTTCTAGATACAGGTGTCATTAATCATATCACTTTTGATTTTCATAGTTTTGTCACTCATAAATTTATTCCACCTATTTTCATTGCTTTGCCAAATGTTGTCCAAGTTTTCACTTCTACATCTGGTACTGTTATGTTATTAGATTCCTTAATTCTTCATGATGTTCTTTTCGTTCTCAATTTTCATGTAAATCTGGTTTCTGTTAAAAAATTGATCCAAACATTGCATTGCCATCTCCCTTTTGAATCTAACTATTGTGTTATTTTGCAGCGAATCTTGCACTGCCATATCTTTTTGAATCTAACTCTTGTGTTATTTTGCAGCAAACCTCCCAGAGGATGATTGGTTCAAGTAGCTTGCAGCAAAGATTGTATGTGTTAAATCTGTCTCACTCTTATTACAACCATAGTCCAGATTCTACTCATACCATTATTACCAAACCCAAATATGTTTTTCTTTGACATCATAGATTAGGTAATGTCTCTAATTCTATTTTTCGTATTATTTTCTAACAATATCCTTTTATCTCTTACTTTGTAAATCCTTTTCTTCTTGTGACATTTGTCATTTTGCTAAATAACGTAAATTGTCTCATCATAATAGTTTTACCTAGGTTAAATTTATGAAATCCAAATCTAAAACCCACACGCATTTAATATATTTCATTTCATTGATTGAAACTCAATTTCATACTAAACTTAAATGTTTTCGAAGTGACAATGAAGTATAATTTTTATTGACTGATTTTTTTATCCAAAGGTATTTTTCATCTAAGAATTTGTGTTGAAACGCCTCAACAAAACGGTATTATTGAACGGAAGCATCAACACCCTTTAAATGTAACTCAAACCTTGTTTTACCAAGCTCAATTACCTCACATTTTTATCATTAATAGATTGTTTGCTTCGTTATTGCATTTTAAATATTCTTAAGCAGTGTTATATGATAAACCACCTAGCATGATCCATTTTAAGGTTTTTTTGTTGTCTTGCTTATGCCACCACGCTTCAAAATCACAAAACTAAATTTCATCCCTGCACCAGCAAAATTGTTTTCTTGGGATATAGGGAATGTACTAAAGACTATGTTCTATATAATCTTCATACCCATCAAATTTTTCTTTCAAGAATCTTTATGAAACTATATTTCTTTTTCATCCTTCCATCTCTCCTTTCTCAACTTATTTTCCTCTATTATTTTATATCCTCTCTTGCAAATATCTTATCCTTGTCCGAACCTATTCATCACCCTCTTGCTGTAGACATTCCATCTACTATAAACTCTAACCAGAACCTTAATTCTCATACCTCGCTTTCTCCACATATTAGACACTCCACCCGATCTCGCAGACCACCTGTCTTACCTAATAGATTTTCATTGTCATTTTGCGATTACTTCTAGAAGTTCCACACATCCTCCCAAGGGTACTTGTTTGCATCTTTTATCCTTAGTTCTTGATTATTCCCAATGCAATTCCTTTTATAAAAATTTTTGTTTTCCTATTACTAATATTTCTGAACCTACTACTTTCTCCCAAGCATCTAAATTGTATTGTTGACAAAATGTATGGATGTTGAGTTATAGGCTTTATAGCAAAATAACATCTGATCTGTTGTTGATCTCTCACAAGGAAAGAGTCTCATTGGTTGTAAATGGGTTTATAAGGTTAAATATCATGCAGATGACATTGGTGATAAATGCAAAGCCCTCTTAGTAGCTAAGGCTACACTCAGTTAGCGAGAGAGGATTATTTTGACACATTCTCCCTAGTTGTCAAGATTATCATTTCCATGCTCTTCTAGTCATACACAGTTAAAGGGTAGTTTATGCACCAACTTGATTTGAATAATGTCTTTCTTCATGGAGAGCTTCATAAGGAAGTCTATATGTTCCCTCCACCTGTACCAAGTGTTTTTTTTCTCTGTCTCTGCTAACATTCCTCTTTCTGCTTTTGATGATTTGGACTAGGCTTGTTGTTTGGACACTCATCGCTTGATCACTAGATTTTGTATTTTCCTTAGTTCTTTCTTGATTTCCTAGAAATTCAAAAAGTAATCTACTATATCTCGTTCATCCTCCAAAGCCCAAAGCAGAATATCGAGCATTAACCAGCCTCACTTAAGATTCAATGGTTATATTATCTTTTCCATGATTTTCATGTTTCATTAGGTCCTATTGTGACAATCAGTCTACCATTTACTTAGTTCATAATCCTTTATTTCATGAACACACTAAACACATCGAGATCTATTGTTATTTGTTTGTGAGAAAATTCAAAAAGACCTAATTTATCTTTTTCCTTATTCTTCTTCCAACCTGCAAATATTTTTACTAAACCTCCTCATTATACACTTCGTTACAATTCTATACCCAAATTTGATATTTGTGACATCACTGTCCAACTTAAACAATAATTATTATAGATTATATATATATATATATATATATATATATATATATATATATTCTTATATTCCTTTTTATTATATAAAGTATTAATAAAAATACATGAACAATAAGATTTAGAAATGTATTTTAGTTTCAACCATCTAGAACACAACATGCATATCAAATGTGATTTTTTATAGAATTTTTTTATGTATAATATATTATACTGTTTAAAGTATAAATCATCAATAAATTTATAATTGTAAAGTGAAAATAATACCTGGACGAAGGTACAGGAAGCAAACGGAGGTGTAGAACGTGCTGTATGAAGATATGGGGCAGAAGAAACTCAATGATATTTTTTATAATTTACATATATCATGGGTATAGAGAAGAAATGATTGGGATGCAGATCGGTTTTAGGTGAAAAAATTACCATTGGATCACCTTTTTATTTTGGGCCCAACTACATCAGCCTACGATGAAATATTGGACCCAGATAGTTTTTTGACCAATCTCATAACAATAATTTTATACTTGCTTTCAGTTTATGTCTCCCATCTATATTATAAATCTTTTTCCTTTTTTTATTTGTTTTTTCTCTTCTTAGGTTTAATTTCACTTATGAAATTAAATATGATTTGTATAAAAACATCTTTCTGTCTATGTATACAACTGGTTTTGAACATTGAAATTGTTGCATTTAAATTTGTGTTTTGTAGATATATGTTGTATGTAATGAATGATATTGATCATCAAGAATTATCCTTGTCATTGTTAAGGAAATTTATTAACTCTTTTAAACCAAAAAATAATTAAGTTTATCGTCTAAAACATTTTCTTAATTTTTCTTCTTGCGTCAAATAATGCATAGAAATCGATTCATTATACTTTTTTATATCCTTCAAACTTATAATATAAAACTTCACATATTAAGTTTAACTTGTGCAATAGCTAAAGTCTACCGAATTCATAATCAATTTTACTAGTTATAGATATTTATTTGGAGTGAATAAACTTTTCATAAAATACTATTAAAAGTTAATAAACATTGAAAATCTATTATCAATTTTAATACTCATAAAAAATATATGCTTCACCAAAACAAAATCAACACTGAGAATCTTGTAATTCCTCAAAACAGATACTAAACAACACAAACATATATCAAACCTATAAAATGATGTTTCTATTCATATTTTCAATTACCCTGCTAATGAATTAGTTCATCATCCCAAAAATATTTGGTTAACTAAATTAAACCATATATAGCAGCACATTCTAAACAACAATTAACAATGTAATTTGGAAATGACATTTTTTTAAATAAAAAATAACAGCTATTATTAGGTCAAACTGTGTTTGGCAAGTGAAGAGAAAATAACACCGACACCCACTAATAAATCACTTCTTACAAGTTTCTTATTTTAGTGTATAAATATATAACACAAGGATGTTAAAAATAAATCACATGATAATAGAAGTAGAAATTCAATTTTATCTTATTATTAGTTCGATATATATATATATATATATGCTCACAGTACCCCAGATTGCACGTGAAGATAATTAAAAACTGTGATTATCTTAAATTTTGGCTAATCATGCATCGATAGAGACAATCTTTTTTGTAAGTCAACTATTAATTTACATGTCTTTTGTCATTCAGATAATTGATGGAAGAAAGAGATCCATGTGTTGCTTTCTATTTTATCATTATATAACTCAGTATAAGTTGGCAAGAACTCATAATTGATCCATGCACCAACCTGCAAATAGCACTTTCCTTTTTGTTTACCCGTGACTCAAATTTTATATGATACTTCTATCACCATGTACAAAAAGCACTTGTGAATTAACATAAACAGTTAAGGATTTATCTGATGCTGAAAAATTAAGGATTTGATACAGTTTTCTATTTTATGAATGAAACCAAACACTTTGTTTATTAGCATATGATTCACAATTTTGCATTTGGAAAACAGATGAAAAATTAAAGGGATGATAGAAATTAACAGCAACACAATTAGCATCCTAATTCTATGAAACCCGAATCACACATCCTCGTTACAAAAAACCGATCAGAAAAACATAAACCAGTTGTTGAAATCTGATCTTGTGCTTCCATTTAAGGCCTTGGAGGATGAGTTGGAGTCTGTGCAGGAGGAGTGAAAATATAACCATTCTTGGGATTGATATTTGGCTGTGGATCAGCATAATCTTCAATCTCATACTTCACTGTTTTGCGAATGGGAACACCCTGAAAGAGAAACAGAGATCCCTATTTAACACTCTTCTCCATCACCCCAAAACTAAACTATGAAAAGTAACAAACAAAATCAAGTTTTCATTTTTCTCTCCATTTTGATTACTGATAAATGTACCCTTTACTCAAAATGGCCTAAAATTGGATAGAATTATCATAAACAATAAGAATACTTTGGACACAATTAATAATAAAATATCAAGTTCCAGAGACTATGGGAACAATTTTAAGCCAATTTTGGTAGTGTAACTTAAGTCATAAAAAAACATAAGTTAGTTACTAAATGTTATAACTTCATAACAAAAGTTACTGTTTTGTGTTAAATTGTTCTTAAAGTAATATTTTAATAACAAAATAATGTCATAAAATTTAACTTTAAAACACTTTTTCTTAAATCATATTTCTTTTATTTTCTTAAAGATTAAATTCAACACGTCTCACAGAAGACCAAATAAATTGGCAATTTATCAATTAAAAAAAAATAGAGAAAAAAGAGGTAAAAAAAAAAACCTCTGCTGATAAAGATACAGTCTGCAAATTCTGAATCTCCATCATCGCCGGCCTACCGAATCCTTAAAATTCACAAAAAAGGCAAAAACATGACAACAAAGACGGAATCAAACAAAAGCAAAGCAAAACAGAGAAAAAAAAACATGGTAATATAAGTTGACAATGGTGGAGAGATGGAAATGGCATACCGTGATGAAAAGAGAGAAAGAGGAGGGAGGAAAGAAGAAGAAGAAGCGGAAAACGTGAGTGAGGCATTGAAAGGAAGAGAGAGGGTTTGAAAAACAGTGAAAAGGTGAGTGAGTGTGAGAGTGAAGAGTATATATATGATTGTCAGAATGCGAAGGGAGCAATAGTTTTACGAACCGACTTTGGGTTAGGGTGAGATCCAACCATTCTTAAGAGTTACGAAAGTGTGGTTTTTTTTTTTTCTCCAGTTGGTTACAGGGTCTGCTCTATATATGGAGCTTCCATTGGAAGTGGAATTTGAATTGAAGTAGACCACTTTATCCTTTCAACCTCAAAATTCAAATCAACCTAAATTACAGTGTATCTTTTATTCATACATAATAAATTATATATGAATTTATTATATTAATTGTCAAATATAAAGTATAAAATACAAAACTTTTGCCTTTACCTACAGAAATACAATTTTATTTTCTTAGATTAACAATATGTTACTTCAGAATGAAAAACTTATGATAAAAGTAATGAAATTACAAATTTGAGAAAGAAAAAAAAAACTAATAATAAGAAAAAAAAATCTTAACCGTCGCAGATTGTAATTCCGCACTTTTAGCTACTTAACACCATTCACGCGGATTCTATTAATCATTTAGATATCCTCAAAGACTGTTATAATTTTAGCATGCATATAGTAATAATGATGTAAATTGAAAAATAATATACTATTAAAATATGCTACTTACATATTTCTATTTTTTTTAATAATGTTCAGTTTAATAAAAAAATGAAAATATATGCAATATATATTTTTATATGAATATTACTATTTTATTAATATTGATTGACCTATCATCAAACTATTAAATCTTACACCCGCTTAAGACATTATTTTATTATTATTTGGAAGGTAATTTATTTTATCAACAAGTTAAGTTAAATAAAAAGGACACGCGAACTTGTCAAATGTTCACCCCACAAGGGCATCTGAACCCTACAGGCTAGACCCATGCTTGGTTGGATCTTGCACCACATACTATGATTCTAATGAGACAACTACGAAGAACTTTTAAAAGTTAGTTTCAAACTATTGAAATTAATAGAAATTTGCATAAATTATCACTTTTTAATGTGCAAGTCATTATCCATGCATTAAACTAATATACACATAAGAATGGGTTTCATTTGGTAGGTAATAATAAAGGGTTTTTTCCACTAAGAAAAGTTAGTATAAGATATAAGATCATAGCATATGGACCTTCACATTTTGGTCCAAGTGGGATTCACTTTCTATACACAACCTTAAATTTCCACTAGCAAAAGTTAGTATCTTTTTCATTTTTTTTAGCCTTTTTATTTTTAAATTAAATGGAAATGCATAATATAATAATTTATCTTTTTACACACAGTTGTAATTTTTAACAAAAAAAAAATTAACTATTAAATATATTGGGGTGATCTTTTTAAAAAGATACCAAGTATAACTAGTTGTTAAAAATCAGTATAAAACAAACAACTTTACATTAAAAGCTATTTGGAGACTTGTATTTTAAAGGTTCTGTATGTAATTCAATAATTTAATAAGTTTTATGTAGATTCTTCAACTAGTTTTTTTTTAATTAAATAATTGAGTATGTACTTCCTTTTTAATTATATATATTTTTCATCTAAAACCTATTTATTGAATTTGATATATTATGTAATTTGTAGAATAAATATAATGGAAGAATAAGAACACTAAATTGAAAACTTGCATAGATATAAATGTTGAGTTAAAAATGTTAATATGGAAAGATAAGAATCCTTATTGTAAACCATTATATGTTACAATACTGGATTCAAGACTAATAACTTTCTATAATAGAAGGGTAATTTAAAAAAAAAATACAAGTTTAAGGACCTAATTAAACATAATTCAAAGATCATCAAATAATTTAACTTTTAAATTTTTCAGTATTTTATTTATGGGAATAAATAAAATAAGCATTTTTTATATAATTATAATTTCTAATTTTAGTTTGCACAAAGTACATGTAGAATGTTTATTTTTATATAATTAGACAAATAATTTAAATGTGTAAATTATGATAAATAATTTATTTCATGTTATGAGACTATTTTTAGTTATTTAATAATTTACTTAAAAAAAATCAATATAAATAATAGTTAAAATATATATAAGGTTGAACATTTAAATTTACAGATAAAATTAAAAGAAAGGTGATTTGAGAAAGAAATCCTGTGAACTAATTATCAAATCAAATTAATTTTAAAATAAAATTAAAAGTAAATTTGAAAGGAATAAATAAATAAAACTTAGAGAAATCCCTTTCAACTGAAAAGGAATATCAATGATATAATTATTGATATCTTTATAATATTTCTGATAGATAAAATTTATATTAACTTCATTTATTTTTTGTGCGAAACAGGTTTAAAACTTATACATCCACAAAAACATTTTTAAGAAAATATCGTACATTTCCCTTTAATGAAACGAAGACAAGAAAAAATTTCTGCACTAGTATACTGTAGAAATAATTCATGGAAAAATCGAGTTTTATTATTGTGTGTGAAAATTTGCCACACTAATAACCATTATATTATTAAAGTGAAAATTTTGTTGAAGGAAAAAAAAACATTCAAAAAAAGTGGATGGTACGTTTGGCCCCAAAAGTTTAAAACTGCTGCCAAACATATATCTTGATTAATTAGTCACTGTCAAATAGTTGTTCATGTTCAACTGTTTTAATGTGGACCAAACGAACGCAGTGTTTGTTTGGCAGATATCACTCAGTCATTCACCAAACTCTAGTTTGCAAACTAATTACAATGCTACATTATCAGTTCCTCTCAATTATAAAGTTATTGATAATCGTTATTTTTTTCAATGTCTTTATTTACTCATTCTTTATTGTTGACATGTATAGATGGAAGCTTCATGCTTGAAATTCCCATTTCAGCAGATTGAAAGTTAACAATCTTACCAAACTGCTACGAGTGTCAAGCCACCACATAACTAGCAACCATGAACTTTTGTTGGCAACAGCCTAACTAATAGATGGAAAGTCACCAATAGTGTCAAAATCATCAGGTGCATGATATCTAATACTACTCAGACCCTGTGCATATAAGCTTATATCATAATTGCAAATTCTTATGTGTAGACATGAGTAATTTATTGAAAAAATTATTCAATTTGACTCCATATTTTGGCAAAGTGTGTTCAGAGAGTGATCATGCAGTTGATTGTGGATGTTTTGCTCATAAATTTCTAAATTTATTAAATGATAAAATGACATGAAGAGATAAGGACTTATTCTATTAATTTTCTGAACACTAAATCAAATATTAAATAGAGTAGGAATATCATGTAACTTTCCTGTTCATCTTGATTAGTGCCAAGTGAACAAAAATATGGGTGGAGTTTAACTCTGAAGTTACTTTCAGTAATATTTTATTCCGATTGTTTTGTTTGGATGACAAAAGCTACCGTAAAGTTGCATTAAATCAACCGCCCCTATAGCAAACGTCTAACAAGTTTAATTGTTTGTTTCCAAGAAGTTCTAGTTAGGAATAACTTTAGAGATAGAGAAAGAAAGATGAGTGAGTGTCTCTCACACTCTTGAGGACAAATTCTTCAATTCCTTTGGACCTGAAAAATTAAAGCATTCTTGTTTGGTGTGTGGTTAGGATTCAAGTCCATTCAAGGAGGATGTCTTTTATGTAAAGGCGAATGGAGCCATAAAATTAACTCAGAGTACTCTTTCAAAGAGTTTTTTTCTCTAACAACCAGATGAAAATCAATAACTATCCAGTTATTTCCCTTTTTCTGTCAGTAAATTTTACTACATGAAGTGAGTTTCTTTATGTAACATAGATTTTCTGTAATGGAAATGAATCTCTCATTCAATGATATAATAATATGTAGTTTATAAACAAAGGAAAATTGGCTGAGTCAAGAAAAGCATTAAGGTACATTCTGAAAGAAAGAAACCAGAACAAAAAGTTCAATTTGAACTCCCATTCTTATTCTTACTTATATACATATAAGGTAAAGGAAAACAAATTCACTATACTTTGGACTTATGTATATATATAAGGGCCTATACATACATGAACTGAGAAATCTATTTGAATAAAAGGGAAGAGGGTAGAGTAGAACAACCTAGATGTCACCTAAGGAAATGCATGAAGAACCATCTTGCTCTTTCTTCAGTTGGCTGACAACAGAACTAACTCTTCTTACAAACAAGGTTTGTGAACCAATGCGGCTTTACAATTTGTGTTTCCCTCAGGACCGGTTGAACACTGCCAAATCAGTTTACTGCACCTAAAAACACAATACTAATTTATATAAGCTACATTTTTATGAGGTCTCATGAAAGTTAAGTGACCTTGACAATGCAGCTGGATTAGCTTGCAAGACCGGTGAGGCTTGCATTGAATGGTTTTTCTCATTATGCTTTGAAGGGAAGCCTTTAAAGAGTGTTTCCCTAGGAACTGAGTCAACCTTGTCATTTTTAATCCCCAGTGTTGTCCATATAGTGCTTCTAGCTGCTTCTCCTGAATCATCAATCCTTAGAGTTTTTGGAACCCACAGACACTTTTCTTTGCTATGTCCATCCTCATCACCACCCGATTCATTTGATTTGGGAATGTGGTCTTCCCTTGAATGTTTCCCCAAGGTTGGAGAGTTATGGCCAGAGTTAGATGTTGCACCCGTCGGTGGTGATGATGGTTGCGCTATCCATGGAATGCTCCATGCACCTGACACAGCACAACCCCAATAAGCTGCTGCAGGATAGAATGGCATGGTAAATCCAGGGGGACAAAAGGCAGGTGGTGGTACTGGAGAACTCCACTGCACTGGACTCCATGGAATAGGCCAAGAGGTACCAGTAAAGTAGGGAACCTGTGGTGGGAAGCTATGACAGTTCTGCGTAGCTTGTTCTTGGGTTGCATTGGTGCTTGCACCTTCCACTGACTTTGTGGAGGTAACTGAAGAGTTATTGGATTGATCATCCCCTTTTTCTCCACTGGCATGTGGAACAGGAATTTTTAGTTCTTCAGGTTTATGAAATCCATTTCTTGCAAAATTGTGTACGGTTTTGTCCGCAAGGTTCAAAACCGATGACATTGATTCACACAAGGGTGGATCAGATCCAAATGTAAGGACTGTACCATTGCATTTCAAGGAAGGATGATATGCTCCATTTGTCAAATCAATTTGAGAATTCTGGAGTGCAACTTCAGAAACAGTTATCTGGCGGTAGAGAGAAGTAGAACTCTTGTTCTTCCTGCGACCAGCACCGACAGGAACGTTCCTCATAGTCCCCCCAGCAGTCCAGTATCTCTGGCAATTCTTGCAGAAATGACGGGGTTGGTTGACATTGTAATTATTATAGTAGCAGAACTTGGTGTCCATACTATTACAGCGGGGACATGGTAGTATTTTGTCTGGCTTTTTGAGGTTCTTATCCTGTGATTTACTTGTCTCACTTTGTTCTTCTTCAGTCTTTGATGTTTTTAATGTTGTTGTGTCCTTGTTGATGGGTAGAGTAATGGATTCTTCACAGGTTCCAGAGGTGGTATCTGGATTGCTAACCTCTTCCGATGATTGGGTTGGGGCTCCATCTTCCTTATTATCATCAGCTGGTTTTTCTCCCAGTGAGTCCTGGATTCATGAAAACCCGTACTAAGTATATAGCATAAACAATATATACTATCAAAAGGATATCACAACATAAACATATTTGTTCCTCCTGAAAGTAAAAACAATCTTCCCAAGTCAAACAAAATAAACATTAAAAATTAAAACTTATTTATTCCACAAATTCTTTTACTAAAAAAAAGACTTAGAAAACATATATATAACTACATTGCATTGCACTACACATTATAGCAGCACTGCATTAGAAGAAAACATTGCATGGAAAGCTACTTCATTAGAAGAAACAAATTACAGAAGCACCGCACAAAAAACACACCATGGAAGTTACTACAGAACCATAGCTCTGGCAATAAATTATACCTCATTTTCCTATCAGCTGTATAGAATCCACGGGGCAACATCAACTGTCAAAATCCATTTTTATGTATTCATCCGCAAGTCAAACATGTTTATTCAATTTTTTTAAAAAGGTTGATGCTCGAAATATAATCATCTAATGCTGGCTCAAACCAAGAGAAAATGAGTATGATTGAGAATTTCAAAGTTGAAACTTGCAGGAAAAAAAAAACAAGGTACTGAAATCCTGAGGAGACAACTCGTTGTTCACCTTTTGTGAGAAAGAACAGAGCAGAACATAAATTTCAAATAAAACAAACTAACCATAGATGGAAAAACAAAAGGTTAAATAAACAAGGAAATCAAAGAAAGAAAAACATAGGAAGTTTACTCAGGATGGTACCAAAGCTATTTTCAAGTCTTCTTCTTCTCGATTTTGCAAAACCCATACAAATTTCATAAGTCAAATAGAAAAATATTTTTCACAAACATGCTCGAAGAACCAAAAGAATCCTGTGCAAATCAATGATATATTGTCATAAACACATATAAAGAAAGACAAAATCATATCTATATTGTAAATCATGAAGGTAACAAGGTTTTGAAATCTAGAAAGCACACAGGAGACTAATTTCTCAAATATGGCTAAATCCATATTTCAATCTGAGAATCAGGCAGTGCCAGACGAACCAAACAACTGAAGAACAAATCCAGATGTCTATCTCGTATAAAATCAATCATTGCTTTTTCTTCTTCAAAACTTTCACTTTTTCGTTTCAAGCACAATAAACCAATCCAAAAATACACCAAAATTCTCTTGAACCACCAAAAAAAAAGCTTCAGTAAGTCGAAAACAACACTAGAACCACTGAATGGGGATTGAAATTTTGAAAACAAACCACCAAATCAATCCCCAGATTGAAACAAACCCCCCAAAACACCCAAATGGACACTGAACTCCTAAAAAAAAAATCAACAACACGATAAAACTTCACAAATTACAACACAAGCCAGAAAAAACAAAGTCAACGGAATCTTCAATGCCCGAGCCAAACCAACACCAACCCATTAATTCTTTTCACATTTCAAATAAAGGGTCGCGCTCAAAATAAAAAATTCCCAAACCCCAAAATCTCCGTACCTTGTCAACAACACCATCCTCTCGCGTATGAGACTCCCTCGAGGAGTTGGAGGAAGAAGCATGGCTCTGTTCAACACTGTCATCAACAACGTCGTCGGAAGACGAAGCCGGAGCTTCAGCGGATCCCCTCAGAATCTCCGACACCGGGATCGTCTTCCCGAAGAGCTTGATCGTTGGGTCTTTTACCTCTGACATTTCTGCTAATAAAAGAAGAATCCTGTATTTTTGTTTTTGTCTAAAAGGAGAAAAAAAATAGAAACTGTAAAAGGTGTTGGAGAGAGAAAGGGAAAAAGTGTATAGAGAGAGAATGGGTGTGACACGTTGTGTGAGACTGTGGTTGATTGTGCGTTTTGTTGTTGATCCGGTGAAGCAGGTAGGAGTGCCACATCAGAAGCTACCTGCAATTTGAGCCACAAGCTTCTTTGTGGCCTTAAAAAGATCTTTCTTTTTCTTACTTTTTGGTTCTCTTTTCTCTCTCTCTGCTTTGCTTTGCTTTGCTTTGTTTCTCTGTTTCTCTTTTTGATTTGCTTAACCAAATGTGCACACGCGCACGTTTGGGTATCTACGAGTCTATGACTATGGTGTGTGTGTGTGTGTTTGCGTCCAATTCTAGTTTCCACCAACACATTGGATCGTAATAGTTGTTTACTTTAGTTGCTTTTCAATAACTCCTTTTTCTACATAATGACTCAAAAGTTGTCAACAACTTGCACTTATCTTCCAACATAGCACTTGTTTTGCATAGGCTGTGGTTTCAAGTTTGGATTTTTAATTTGTGAAAAAATATTAAATGTTGAAGTTCGACCCTTTAAGTTAAATGGGTATACTTTAAATTCTACAATTGACTTATTAATAAAAGTAAATGTGAGTTTATTTTGTTCAATTCATTTATAAAAAAGCTTTTGTTTGAGTTTATCAATATAGTATTTAATAGTTATTTTAACATTATACAATAATATTTCACAATCTAGTAGAAAAAAATACCACAACCTATTACTTATAAAAAAAATAACTTTCGAAATCAATGTAGGGCTATCAACGACGTTCAATCTACATATTTTCGTAATTAATATGTAAATAACAAAGACTAATCAAATATTTATATATTAAAAAAACGAAATTGATGTTAAACACAAGTAAAAGTCAATATTAGTTAATTATATATAAAAGACAGGCTACTTTGTTTATATATATATATATATATATATATATATATATATATATATATAATAGTTAAAAAGACCAATTAAAAAATATGTTAATATTAATATATAAAAACGGATTATAATTTTACATGTGCTTTTAAAATATTTAATTAGAATTTAAATTAAAATATTTTTAAATTTTGAATTATATTAATAAAATTAATTTTAATTTAAAATATTTTTACTTAACCTAACTACATTTTTTTAGTTATAAACTAATCAAACTTCATTTTAACAACTCTAATTCTATACGAGAATTCATATATTTTTACTCTTAAACATTAATCATTATCCCATAAACTCAAATATGTTTTATTAAGATTAAAAACATTTTATCTCTCTCCATAGCTTTCACTACAAGAAATTTCTGAATTACCGACGGATATTTACCGATGGATGTAGAGCAGTCGGAAAGTAACGATGGATGTAGAGCAGTCGGAAAGTAACGATGGATGTAGAGCCGTCGGAAAGTGAGTAATTACCGACGGATTTAAGATAGTTGTAAAATTTGGTTTTACCGACGGATATATCCATCGGTAAATGAATCATTAATTATCGAGAGATATATTCGTCGGTAAATTAGGAGGAAGTGATTACCGACGGATTTTTGAAATGTGGTTTTACCGACGGATAGATCCGTCGGTAAATTAAAACCTATTTATCTGCTCAGAATATTATTATCTTGTAGAACCGCTATCATATATGTGTCACTTTTAAGAGCGATTAACATTTTAACCGCTCTTATAAGTGAACATATAATAGCGGTTCCACGTTAACCATTATCTAAAATATATTTAAAAAACTAATCGATTATTTCAAAAAGTAATCGATTAGTTTTTTCATACTTGATGAGAATCAGTTATTTTTTTAAATAATTGATTAATTTTTAAATAATCAATTAGTTTTTCAAATATATATTAAATAATTATAAATAAAAAAATATATCAACTAAAATTTAAAAAAAATAATTATTTTTAAATTATATATATTATATAAATTATATAAATTATAAATATAAAATTAAAAAAAATTATATTTAAAATTATAACCTTAAAAAAAATTATAATTATAAAATTAATAAAAATATAACTATTTTTAATGTTAAATAAATTATATATATTATATAAATTATATATATATATATATATATATTACATAAATTAAAATTACATACATGAACTATAAATTAATTTTATATATAAAATTTACATAAATAAAAATAAAAATTATCAACTTAAAAATAAATTATATTTATATATATATATATATATATATATATATATATATATATATATTCTCCAAAGTATAACTTATTTTCATTTCTATAATATAAATATATATATATATATATATATATATTTTTTAACTAATCGATTATTTTGAAATAATCGATTAGTTTTTTATGAGAATCAGTTATTTTTTTAATAATTGATTAATTTTTAAATAATCAATTAGTTTTTTAAATATATATTAAATAATTATGAATAAAATATATATCAAATTAAAATTAAAAAAATTATTTATTATTTTTAAATTATATATTATATAAATTATAAATTTAATTTTTTTAAGTTGATAATTTTTATTTTTATATATATAATTTAAATTTTTTTTTAATTTTAACTTGATATATTTTTTTATTTATAATTATTTAATATATATTTGAAAAACTAATTGATTATTTAAAAATTAATCAATTATTTTAAAAAATAACTGATTCTCATCAAGTATGAAAAAACTAATCGATTACTTTTTGAAATAATCGATTAGTTTTTTAAATATATTTTAGATAGTGGTTAAATATATTTAGATAGCGGTTAAATATATTTTATATATAAATCGATTATTTTTTTAATTACTCTAGTTATGATCGATTAAATTTTCAAATAATCGATTATATTTTCAAATAATTGGTTATAATCGATTGTTTTTTCAAATAATCGATCTTTTAGATAGCGGTTCTAGAACTAACAGCTATTAAAAATATATTTTAGATAGCGGTTAACGTGGAACCATCTATTATATGTTCACTTTTAAGAGCGGTTAAAATATTCAACTGTTCTTAAAGCTGTCACATATATGATAGCGGTTCCACTTTAACCGCTATCTAAAATATATTTAAAAAACTGATCGATTATTTCAAAAAGTAATCGATTAGTTTTTTCATACTTGATTTTTTAGAATCAGTTTTTTCTTTAAATAATTGATTAATTTTTAAATAATCAATTAGTTTTTCAAATATATATTAAATAATTATAAATAAAAATATATATCAACTTAAAATTAAAAAAAAAACTTATTTTTAAATTATATATATTATATAAATTATAAATATAAAATTAAAAAAATTATATTTAAAATTATAACCCTAAAAAATATTATAATTATAAAATTAATAAAAATATAATTATTTTTAATGTTAAATAAATTATATATATTATATAAATTATATATATTATATAAATTATATATATATTACATAAATTAACATTACATATATGAACTCTAAATTAATTTTATATATAAAATTTACATAAATAAAAATAAAAATTATCAACTTAAAAATAAATTATATTTTAATATATATATATATATATATTTATTCTCGAAAGTATAACTTATTTTCATTTCTATAATATAAAAAAATATATATATATTTATATATATATATAAATATTTTTTTAACTAATCGATTATTTTTAAATAATCCATTAGTTTTTTATGAGAACTAGTTATTTTTTTAAATAATTGATTAATTTTTAAATAATCAATTAGTTTTTTAAATATATATTAAATAATTATAAATAAAATATATATGAAGTTAAAATTAAAAAAAGTAATTATTATTTTTAAATTATATATATTATATAAATTATAAACATAATTTTTTTAAGTTGATAATTTTTATTTTTATATATATAATCTAAAAATATTTTTTTTTAATTTTAAGTTGATATATATTTTTATTTATAATTATTTAATATATATTTGAAAAACTAATTGATTATTTAAAAATTAATCAATTATTTAAAAAAATAACTGATTCTCATCAAGTATGAAAAAACTAATCGATTACTTTTTGAAATAATCGATTAGTTTTTTAAATATATTTTAGATAGCGGTTAAATATATTTTATATATAAATCGATTACTTTTTTAATTACTCAGTTATGATCGATTAAATTTTCAAATAATCGATTATATTTTCAAATAATTGGTTATAATCGATTACTTTTTCAAATAATCGATCTTTTAGATAGTTGTTCTAGAACTAACCGCTATTAAAAATATATTTTAGATAGCGGTTAACGTGAAACCGCTTATTATATGTTCACTTTTAAGAGCGGTTAAAATATTAACCACTCTTAAAACTGTCACATATATGATAGCGGTTCCACTTTAACCGCTATCTAAAATATATTTAAAAAACTGATCGATTATTTCAAAAAATAATGGATTAGTTTTTTCATACTTGATTTTTTCATACTTGATGAGAATCAGTTTTTTCTTTAAATAATTGATTAATTTTTAAATAATCTTTTTCAAATATATATTAAATAATTATAAATAAAAAAATATCAACTTAAAATAAAAAAAATAATTATTTTTAAATTATATATATTATATAAATTATAAATATAAAATTAAAAAAATTATATTTAAAATTATAACCCTAAAAAATATTATAATTATAAAATTAATAAAAATATAACTATTTTTAATGTTAAATAAATTATATATATTATATAAATTATATATATATATATATATATATTACATAAATTAAAATTACATATATGAACTCTAAATTAATTTTATATATAAAATTTACATAAATAAAAATAAAAATTATCAATTTAAAAATAAATTATATTTTAATATATATATATATATATATATATATATATATATATTTATTCTGTAAAGTATAACTTATTTTCAATTCTATAATATAATATATATATATATATATATATATAAATATATTTT